CCCCCCCCCCAAAAGCACCTGTCAGAAAAATTCCAGAGTCTCAACCATAAAGACTACTTGTAGTAGACTCATTGAATCAGAACTTGCAGATCCCAAATTCATTTCAGTGGTGATGTTTCCATGTGGCTACCTTTTGGGGGTCGTTATTGATTTCAGTTACAGATGATGCCCTTCTCGGTGTTGGCTTCCCTTGAGGCAGCCATGCTCAGTTAATTTTTTCCTGGAAGCTCAGTTTGAACGACTGATGATGAACATGTGACTAACTACCCGCCCGCTCTCTCTTTCTGTCCCTTGGCATAGAGTTAATGTGGGCTGCGGGCCTGCAGAGGAGCGAGTCTTGCTAACGGGACTGCATGCAGTCGCAGACATTTACTGTGAAAACTGCAAAACCACTCTGGGCTGGAAATATGTAAGTATGAGGAATCTGGTTGATGGGGAGAGGGCCGTGAGAGGAATAGCTGAGAGTCTCAAACTAGAAGGCTTTCTTCTACTTGCTTCCTGTGGCCTTGTGTGATTGTCTTAGACCAGGACAGGAAACTGAGCTCCATGGGCAGTTCCTGACACACTCCTCTGTTTGCCACACTCCTTTTTCCCTGTTCACCGATGGTCGTCTCCTCCTGTTCATTCCTTCTCACCTGCCCTGAGATACACACACACACTCCTACATCCTTACCTTTCAATTTAATAAATAATAACAATCATAGCACACAACATTTCCTGACAGCTGACTATGTTCCAGGCATACATTATTTTATTTATTCTTTACAGCATCCCTAGAGGGTAGGTCATATTTTAATCCCTATTTTATGGATGAGGAAACTGAGGCTTAGGGAGGTTAATAGTATGTTCACTGTTATCTATCCATTATGTGGCCAAACCAGGATAGGAGTCCAGGTAGTGGTCTGACTGCAGAACCCGTGCTCTTTGATGCTTCAATAAATGTTCCCAGAATATCTAGGTCTTAGGCCTTGTGCCAGGTATCATCAAGCATTATGTTAATTAATGTCCACTATCAGATATAGTGATGACTGGACGTTCTCAACTGGACATTTGTTCCTTCGTTATTTAACTCAACAAATATTTTTAACGTCTTCTTGGTACCTAGGAGAGTGAGCAGTTCTTTGCCAGGGTGAGAGAAGGTATACATGTTCAATGAAAATAAACTTGAATTGTTGTTGTGTTATTATTATTTGCAGATCTTTTCACAATGCTTTTCTCTGGCCTTTCTGTCATTGTGGGGATGTTGAAAAATGAGTCTTCCTGTCTCTGGGAGGGCAATTTATTCCATGTGAAATGCTTCAAATTCCTTGTCCTGTAAGTTGCATGGAGTCAGTATGGGGCTGGTCTCTTATGACCTGCTGTTAGCTTGGGAAAGAGCCTGAAGAAGTAGTCAAAACTGCCTGCAGAGTGATAATGATGTGTCAGTGTAGGTTTGTTGATTGTAACAAATGTACCACTCTGGAGGATTTTGATAGTGGGGGAGGTTGTACATATATGGGAGCAGGGAGTATAGGGGAAATCTCTGTGCCTTCTGCTCCTTTTTGCTGCAAACCTAAAACTGCTCTAAAAATATGAAGTCTATTTAAAAAAAGACATTGAGCAAAAAAGAAGCCAGACATAAGAGTACGATTCCGTTTAAATAAAGTTCAAAAATGTACGAATCTTAAAACCTGCTGCTGCTGGAGCCTGCAGTGGAGCAGCACCGCCTTTAGATTCCATCTTTCACGTCCCTTGAAGTGTTCAGGATTAGAAAGAAAAAACCTAGACATTGTGTTTCTCATGATGCCAAGATGGTTTAGCCACAGCTCCCTATGGTTGCCTTGGTTGTTTCTTGTGGGAAAAACTGGACTTGGCCACTCTGCCCGCCTTGTGTGGCCACCTGCCCCCTCTGGGTGATCTGGGGGCCACAGGTCTGGTTTTGGTTGTCAGAAATGTTCTGCCCCTTCTCTGTTTCCCACCCTCTTGGTTATCTTATTCCTTTGAGGATATGCTGTCTTACAGACAGAAGATAAATCTGAGCTGGTTGGTTTAGCTCCTTACTTCAGGTAAAATGACTCACTCCTTTGACAAAGCTTTACTGAAAGCCTTTGTGCTGGATACAAAAGGGAATGAGATCCAGTTCTTGCCCTAAGGGTGTTTATAGTCATGATACCAGAGAGGGAAGCGATAGGTAAACAGATAAAACTAAAACGGCTTGACAAGTATAGTGATATGCACAGTAGAGAAACCTCCATCTCCTCAAGTATGTATTCATCACCGCTCATGGGCCACACACAGTGCTCCAGGCTTTCATTCTGTTATTTCTTCTGACCCTCACGATAATCCTGTGAAGTACTTGTCATCATTCCATTTTTTCAAATGAGAAGTTTATAATTTTGTAAATTGTAAATGGAAGTGGAATGGTTAAGTGATGCTTCTGATGCTAGGAAGCAGAAGTGGAGTTCAGTCTGGGGTGCTTCTAAGGACTCCAGATCTAGTGCTCTGTCCACTGGAGTCCAGTTGTGACATTTTGCAAGTGCCCTTTGGATGATTGGAGGCTGTTGAATTTTTTTTTCTTTTTTTTTTTTTTTTTGGTTTAATAAGGATACACTCTCACTTTACTAGTTTTGTTTTTTCCTCCCCACTACTCTGAACACACTACTATGGAACAATAGGTCTTATTCCCAAACCACATTCTTCTGTTGTGTACACATCTCACGCGTGCGTGCGCACCCACACACACACACACACACACACACACACACGGAAATGACTGCTGAGCCCACAGCTCTTGTATGTGTATGGTGCTTGCACATTCTCTCTTGGTGCCCCTCCCCCCTCCACTTTTCAGAATGATTCCTCTCTCAATGAGAGACTCAAGTCTGAACTCTTGTTCTGAAACTCAAAGCCCCTGAGCTCTGGAACAGAAGATCCAGTTCATATAGATGCTGCCCAGAACCTATTGACAGTAGGATTTAGTTACTTACTAATTTGGGGGACTCAGGAGGAAGAGCTGATGTCCACTGCTTCTGCACATCGAGCTTAGCCATCTAGTAACTCTGACCAGTGTTTTTCAGATGACACACCAAGATGTTTTTATGTATCTGTGTCTGCAAATAAAATATCCCTTAAAGCCTACGCTCATGCAGGACTTCTTTCAGGGGAGTTTATTAGCTGGGAGCGCCCACAGTGCTGTAAGTTTAGGATGGTGACTGCCAGCTGGTTTTCCCTCTGGAGGCCTGGCAGCTGGGTGGGGTGCGAGAGCTGCCAGATTCTTCAGCCTGGAGTTCATACAGCTCCTGTCTCCTTGGAGATAAGCAGTGCAGGAAAAACAGACTTAACACATTTGACATAGAAACAGCAAGATAAGAAATAAAGAGACCTGTTTGGCCTCACAATACTTTGTTTCTCTCCCTGAGCATCTTTTCTCTAAGCCTAACAAAGCACAGTTTAAAATTATGACACAAAAACTTTACGGCTACATCCATAGGGCAGATTTCTGATTAGCATCAGAAACCAAGTTCTCATAGGATACTATATATATACATGCACTCATTCATTCAGCAGTTATTTATTGAAGACCTTTTATGTGCCACGCAGTCTTCTAGGCACTGGAGATACAGCAATGAACAAAACAGTGAAAATCTCTGCCTTCCTTCAAGTTTATATTATAGTAATGGGAGACAGATAATACACAAAATAGATATGCAAGCATTGCTGTATATTTGCAAGTGATAAGTGCTGTGGAGAAAAATAAAGCAGCAGAAGAGGGGAGAGAGATTGCTGCAGTGGACATTTTGATTTTAAGTAGAGTAGTTGGGAAAGGCCTTACTGAGATGGTGATATTTGGGCAAGGACTTGAATGAGCAAAGATCCTGAAGAAATTCTTTTGTGAATAGAATATTTCAACTTCAAAACATTGAAATTCTATCATAAATATTGAGAAAGTCCTGGTGTTGCCTCAGTGCTGTAGTTAGTGAAGGGAACATGGCATCCTTGAGTGGTGGGAATCCTCTCAGTGAGTCTGGGTGAAGCTGGGACCAGAATTCAGTGGTCCTGGTGCCTGACATTGGCCCCACCTTTGCCCCATGCTACAAAAGTGCTCATCTTTGGTCGTTCAGTGTTTCTCTTCCTTTGTGTTTCCTAGGAACATGCCTTTGAAAGCAGCCAGAAATATAAAGAAGGCAAATACATCATTGAGCTAGCACACATGATCAAGGACAATGGCTGGGACTGATGGGAGAGCATCCACCCAATCCAGTGTCCACGTGAACGCCATCCACCTGAACATTCTACCCGAGCGTGAGAGAGTGACTGAACACTCGGTTCCATCCATTTAGGGGCCTCGCCATCTGGGGCATTCTCCCACCCTGACGCCATCTTTCTGGTGACCGGCCTCTAAATCGCTGTCTCTCTGTCTCTTTGCTTTGTATCTGTTTGTGAGTTGATCCTGGCTTCTCTCTCTGTTCTAGTGTTGGCTGAAAACAAAACAGCAAAAGGAACAGATGCCTGACTGCGTGGTGGCAGCACACCTTGGTAAGGGCCTTGGGGCCCATGCAAGAGCTGCCTGAGGGCCGCTTGTCAGGAGAGCAGTGGCACAGCACAGGGGTGTGAGGAAGAGGGAAAGGGGGGAACCTTGAAGGTCCCGGGGCTGGGCAGGGGATGGGAGGGTAGAGGTAGAAACAAAATTGTGCTGCTTCTGGAGACCTGGTAACTTAGGCTTGAAATAATTGACTTGTCTAAAAGGACAGAGAAAAACAATACCTCATGCCTGCATTCTTTCTGATCAGAAGCTTCTGTTCCTGACACCAAATGTGCCAGGTTAGCAAATCAGCACAAGAAGTGGCCCTAATTCTAGCTAGTGGGGCAGGGGCTTTGTTCTCCTGGGCCGAGTTGAGGAGCGTCCTGGAAGCAAGGAGTGACTTGGGAAAACCCAGATGGGTTTTGATGACTCGGATGCCTCCCTGCTCCTGTGGGTAATCTTTTTCTTTGCCTCTTCAGCCACTGTAGGTGAGACAGAGGGGACTGCCGTTTGCAATGGGTGCAAGATCCAAACATCCCAAAGGCTTTGACCAGCAACTAACTAAAATGAGTAATTGAGGAGAACAGGGAACAAACGGGGCTGCAGTTTGGGAGCTCCTGCAGAAATGGCTCAGGTATTGGGCCAGAGAAAACAAAAAGTAGAACCAGTTAGCAATTCTGACTGTCTGACCTTTTTTTCTGACCCGTAATAAGAGAAGAGCATTGTGGCAAGGAAGGGGGATAGGGTGGGGCGATGCTGGGAATAGTTTAGATCTGAACCGTTACAGGTTAGGTCATCTTTCCTCTTTGGTATGCAGTGGCTTCAATGAGATCAGCAATTCTTTGTACATAGAGTTTTGGGTGTTTTTCTCCAGTTCTATCGTTGTAGATTTTGGAAAACAAAGTCCCAAGGCTTTGAGCTTAGTGATAACCAGGCTGGTAGATTCCTCGTGCCCCTAGCTGTTCTCCTTGGACTTGAGTGTTCTGTGTGGAGAGAAATCCGTCAGTGTGGTCCAGCAGTGGGTAGGGCTTAGATTTGAGGTCAAACGTCAAGTTACAAATTCCAATATTACCCCCTAACCCCTCCGCATCGGAAGTTCATCGTATTAGGGGAGTAGAGGACAAATCCCTGTAAAGCTCATGAGAGACAGAGGAGTTTGTTACATTTAATCAACACTGTGAAGTCTGTTCTACAGCAATTTAGCCAGTATACGGTGCATGACCGAGACTCATTTAACTGAGTTAATTTCATTGCTTAGACTGAAAATATTATTATTGTTAAGATATGTGTCTGTTATGTTAGGTAATTCTCAGCATCTCATTCTCCAGGTAGGCTGATCCTATAGGAAAATTCACCTTAAAAGTCGCAAAAGAGTGAGTTCACGGAGACAAGAATCTGTAAAATTGATTAACCAAGATTCAAGCAGCCAACGTAGAACATTTTCAGAATTGAACCAAATTCCCACAGGGAGTGAGTCCATGGTGGAAATGCCTTTTTGTGTCTCTGTGTGCTGATTGCAGCATGGGGGACCTGAGACAGGCATGGTCCTGCCCTGGCGCTGGTGGGCAGCAGGACTGACAGGAAGCAGGGTAGCTCCAGGTTTAGCAGTAGACGGCCTGTAAGACAAAAAGATTCTTAGAAATCAAATTTTGTTCCCAAAGGCTTCTTGCCCACATATTTTGGTGCTTTAGTAGCTCTGGGAGATTAAGTTGTTCTCCCCACATTACTAAAAAGCAGACTGAGGTTCAGAAGAAGTATTTCATTTCCACTCCCAGAGAAAGAGTTCTTCTGGCTCCCAGGCCCAAGATCTCCAAAAATACACTTTCAACTTGCACATTCCTGAGTTGGCTTGCCAGCACAGAAATCATAGATTCCCCTCTCTATGCCCCCTGAAGGTAGTGGTCTTCATTTATGGATTTTGGTTGGTCCCTTTGTTCAGGGAATGTCCTGGCTATTGATACTCCTTTCCATAAAAAGAAAATAGGACTTAAACTTGGGTAAGTGTTTTGTCTTTAAAACTAAAAATGGAGTGTGGTGACATAGAAACAGGACATGGGGTGCCCTAGAATTTTCAAAGGGCAGAGGAGACCGATGTGCCACTGTTCTTCCTTGGGGATGGGACCTCTGACTGTTGCATGGACCAGAGCAGGCTCCAATTCGACCCTGGTTCTGGTTTTTTACAGTTACTATCCATTGAGCATCCAATGGGTGCATGGCACCATTCTTGGTGCGAGAGATCTGAGTAGAATGTTGGTTTTTCCATAACTACAGGGGAGAAAAGGCAACCACTCATTAGGCTTTCCCTTTGTGTCAGTGAAACCAAAAGTGCTTCTTATAACTTTAGCTCCATTCATGGCTTGTCTATCTAACATCTAGCAGCATTGGAGAGACTGCAGCTGGGCGATGAAGACGCATCAGCTCATGGCCTCAGTCAGTTCGTTCTTTAATTTCCTCACCAAATTATTGACTCAGAGCATAACCAAAGACCTCATCCATTCGCCCCTGGTGGGTGCAGGGAATTTGAGTTCGGTGGTAAAGCTTAGGCAGGGTGCAGGGAGTAGGGAAGGGGAAAGGGAGAAGTGAGAAAGGGAAAAGGCATGAAGTTCTATACCTCAGCCAGCAGCTGCCTTCGCTTTCAACTGAAGTCCAGCCGGCAGACTCTCTAGTTCCATTTCCTCTGTGCCACCCTAGGTCATGTGGCCTTGGTGGCCCTGGATTACATCCAACGCCCCTAGGATATTCGTCTCAGGCTGCTGATGGGTTGATTTGACATGAATCACATACAGCCAAACTTGATGCCCACAGAGTGTCAGCTGGGCCTGACTGAGTGCTGCCCCAACTCCTATGACAGTAAGATCACGGAGATAGGATAGAGTACATCTTTACTGGCGGTGGATCAGTTTGTGAAAAAGAGGTGTCCCCTTTATAAAGAGATTTTCAAGTGGATATATATAAAAGAAACAGTTGCTTGTGAAATATACTTTTATAAATAATATTTAATTTTTTAAATAATATATTTGGTGCTGTTTTCTCAGATCCCCTGAGAGCACTTTTTATTTTCATTTTTAAATCCTATGGTTTCCTCTGCATTTCTTGAAGTATATTTTAAGGGAAACAGTGATCACCAATATACTCTTTTTTAAAAAAGAGCTCTATCACTTTAGTCTGGACAGAGGCAGTAAAGCAGTGCCTCTCTACATTTCTTCCCAGTGGAACAGACTCTGCAGTACATTACCAGGTTGAGAGTTGAAATATTTTCTTGCACCAATATTGGCTAGAAAAGAAAATAAATAAAATCAAATAAATTTAGTAACAACTTAGAGTGATTCCTCTTGTTGGAAGAATGTCCAACGAGTTGGAATCTTGTTTTTAATTGTGTGTGTGTATGCGTGTGTGTAAAGCACTTTGGATTGTGCCTCCTGTTTTCTTTCTTACTGGGGACACTATACCTACAGTTTACACCTTGGGCACATAAGATTTTTCTTCTCTTTCTCTCTGGTGGTTTGTTTCTGAGTGGACCAACAGCACAAACCACAAAGATTTTGTTTTCCTGAGCATGGAGCTGTAGCCAATTTGCTCCTTTTTCTTTCTTTGTGTGCTCAACTTTTACAGACCGTAAAGGAAATCCATTGTTTGTGAAGATCAAGCAGAGTCGTCTGTGTTTCTAACTGAGATGTGAATGTGTTCATCACGTATCCCAGGCTCCGGTTGTTATAGAAGCCACATCATGTTAAACATTAACTGATTTGAGTTGAGAAAACATTAATAAAATAATATACATACCTTGTAGGTAAACAGCTTTTTTTTTTTCTTTTTTAAGGTCAGATTGCCTCAGTTTCAGGAAGAGGCTGGGAAATCAAGTCTTGAACACAATCAACTTACGTATCTTAAAAAAGAGTCTGCCTAAATGAGAAAACATGCTAGTGGTCTAGGTAGAGGAAAGAGATGTTTAATTTTTAAAATTAACGTACAGTCATGAAATCTGCCAGCAGTGAAAAGTAAAGCCAAGAAGAAACAAGCTATTCTCGTATTACCAAATTCTATCTGCCTGTATGTTTTTGTATAACATTCTGATGAAAGTGAGAGTCGGTTCCCTTTTCCAACCTGCAGAGACTATCTTTAAGTACAGAATCTGTCTATTTATGCTTGTGTTTACAAACTGTATTTGTTGGGTTTGGGTTTTGTTATTTTCTTTCTTTATCTTTTGATGTTGTTGTCGTTGGCATTTTTCAGGTCACTTTGCTTCAATAACAAAGATAATTATTTTCAAATAATTTGTCTTCACCTTTTCCTGTATTTGTACATAGTGATTCAGTATTAGAGAAAAGTGCATTGTTTCTGTCGTATTTCCAATCTGTGTTGGTGCTCATTTGAGAAAATAAAGTTTTCAAATATTAATTCTTTGGAGGACTCATCTGTCTTAATTTACCCAGCATGTTTTGTCTTGACATTTAGCATTTAAAGGAACCGAAAGGCCTCCAGGAGGTCATCTTTCTAACCCTGTTCACAGATCTGTCAACTGAAACCCAGAGGGGTTGTTTTCTTCTAGGACAGTTAGCCAATTAATGAATAAAAATCAGGCCTCCTGCTTATCTACAAATGCATCTCCTGGCTTTAGATATCAGAAATGCTGAGTGACCTTTATCATTTCTGTCTACTAAGTCCATATTCTTATACCCTATAAGCTTTTCTGTTTACACCAATTTCTTTGGTGGAGATAGGATTGCGTTAGGTGAAGGGAAAAAAGAAGTAAAACAACAAAATTATGTCAAAAACCGGCAGCGTTATCTTTGAGTAATTGGCTAACAAAGGGAGATAAATATTCAGAGTTATAATATATAGAAAATCAAGTCTTCTCACTCATTGAACAAATATTTATTAAACGTCCATTAGAGTTCAGGCATTGGGTGAGGCAATTCAACCATCCTAATAATCAGCTGTTCTTGTTTTCCAAGAATCTTTCCTTCAGTATTGACCATATGCACATACAATGACTGTAAGTACAGTTTTGTATTCTGGTGCCTTCATTTAACAGACCACACATTTTTGCCTAGTCATCATCAATTTATACTGAATTTTAAAGTACTTTTTCAAAAGCTTGCCTTCATAACTTACAGAGTTCCCACCCTGTATAGGCAACCCAAATAGCAAAGAAAAAGATATTAAAACCACAAAAGTGTGTGTGTTTATGTGTTTTCACATGGGTGATAATTTGAAAGCCTATTTCCTATAAGATAGGAAATACCTTCTCTACTTCCCATGAATTTTCACTTACCCATTCAGGGCCCAGCCACAGCTGACTTTTATTTGTCCTTGAGTGTATTATCTTCCTCCTCTGACCTGTTTTGCTTCAGTGGATGTGCCTGTTATCATTTCATTCTTGTGTGCCTTTGGCAGACAGAATCGAGGGAAAAGATAACATGTGCAGGACACAACTCATCTCAAACCAGCAATCCTTGGGTCCTCATGCTTCCAAACTCTTATACCCTACAGTGGCTGGCCAGGAGATCAGTCTGGGAGAAAGTGAGGGGAGAGCACTAGTGTTCATTGAGTGCCTGGTTTGCAGCAGACCCTGTGTTGAGTGCTTTGCCTACGTGACCTCATTTAGGATCCTCTCAATGAGGTGCTTCCTCATATCCTAGGAGTCCTCACCACCCCGTGGGAAAGCAATGACAAATGCTGATTATCTCCATTTTATAGTTGATGAAATTGAGGTTTTGCAATGTTTCATTGCTAGTGATGGGGTCAGCACTCATAGCCTGTCTGACTTCACAGCCCTATGTTTGTTCTCTATACTGTGTTCCAAATTTTATCCTCTCTCTTCCTCTAGCCTTCTTAATTTTAATGTGGCTACACAAGACACTTTGTCAGTCTGCCTACCATGACTGCTTAATAAGTAAGGGTTCAGGGAATGCAAATTAGAAAATTAACGTAAAGCTGCAAAGGTCAATGCTACCTGAAAAGTACTGCATATTCCATAGATGAATATCAGCTGGGCTTTGTTGTTGTTTTTTAATAGTCCGTAATGAATTATATATGTAATCCTTGGCCCCTCTATTAATGGTAGGTACTTAATAAATGCTTACTGAGCACTGCATTAATGTGGGTGGTGGAGAATTAACACCTTGTAAAAATCTGCTTTACGCGTTAGTATCCCTAAGAGGAGAATGGAGAAGAGGTTAGTATTAAATATTTCCTGCATAAGGTAAATCGTTACATCATGAGCTATCCATTTATTATTTTCATTTATTTATTCAAGAGGCATTTTTTTGACATCTATTATGTGCCCGGTGTCGTCAGGAAATTAACCCCAGGGAGCAGAAAATCAGTGGTACTAATCTTGCAGAGTGGGAGAACAAAGGGTTTTGCACTGTCCTCGCCACTATTGGCCAGATATCCAGCCACATCAAACACGACCTTCACAGGCATCTGTTTCCTGTAGAAGCAATTACTCATACATCTTTTGATCTGAACCCAATAAATGGCTTGTGTCCTAAAGCAGGGCACAGGGCAAGCTCTGGAGTTAAGAGTACCTGGTTTCAAATACTGGTTCCCTTTAGTAAAAAGGTAATCTATGGAAAGGGCTCAGCCCAGTGCCCGGCACATAGTAAAGAGTCAATAATAAAATGATTGTTATTATTATAGATTGCTCAAGTCTATTTTGGATTGGGAGTGGGATGAAGAGGACTATTGTATATGCTCTTTATGTACACTATTTGATTAATTTTGCAACAATCCTATGAAGTGAATATCCCCGTTTTACAGAGGAAGAAACTGAGGCTCAGAGAGCATAAATAACATGCCCATGGAAGAGCTGGGATTTTTTAACTGTTGTCCTGATTCTGAAGCCCACACCCTCTCTGTGGACCCAGCCTGCCATTCAGGAAACAGGGATAACTGCCAAATAGGAAACTTTCTGGCTCATCTGAGTAAGCACACACACAACATATCATGGCTGTTTTGCTCTCTCATGTTTTACTTTTTTTTCATGAAATGGAAACCCTGGCTTTTCCATTGGAAGCCAAGAACTTAGAATTGAGGAAGAGTTGAATTGTGTTATACCTTTATTTACAGGATTTCAGGCCTGTTGATTGCAGCGCTATGATTTTATATTTCTTTTGAGGGGAAAAAGTGTTGCTTTCAGTTGTTCAGACTGATTTAGAAGATAAAAATCCCAAAACTTACCCATATGGAAGTGACTAAAGTATCTTATGATAACATCTCTATGAGGCCATTCGAGGGTAACTCTCCAGGCCAGCTTGGAACAAGCCAAGGATTAAAAGTTCATGTCGCATGAAGATGCTTCTAATTCCCAAGTGATATGGAATCATTTTAATGAGAGACAGAATAGCTAGAGAAACTGAATTTTTCAAGGCACTAGCAAATTATTTGAAAACTATGACAGAACAATTGAGTTATATTTATTTTGAATTAAAATCATATTATTGATTTATCCCCAGCTCAGAAATGAGCAGGGTCAAGTAGAAAGAAGGTTGGCTTTGGAGCTGGACAGATGGGGATTTGAAACCTGACTGCATGCTTATACACTGATCACTTTGAAGAAGTCACTGCAATTCTCAGGACTAGTGTCCGTCATTTGTAAATCAGGAATACCAGCAACAACACGTAAGTTATTGTGAGGATCAAATAGCCCACCACATGAAGTGCCCAGCACGTTGCCCGGATCAAATAGGCCTTGTCAAGTGTCACTGGTCTTTTTTTTTGCTGAGTGATTGGAACTCACTATGATGGGCACTTCGAGCACGTAGGATGTTTCGGATCCGACATTCATCCCTCTAACCCACCTCTACAAAGGAGACTGACACCCAGGGAGGTTAGGTAACCAACGCTTGGTCATGGGCCTAGTAAGGAGCAGAACTGGAGCTGGAACCCAGAGCACTGAGGCAATCAGGCTAGTGGCCCCTACACCACACTACTCACTTTTACTTCTAGAAGAGAGTGTGTACGTTTACAGAAAGAAAAAAGGAAGGGAGTCAGCTAAAAAAAGGTCCTTGAATTTTAGGATCCTGTTTAAAATTTTTATAGTAACCATCTTTGGTGATCTTCAATAAAGCAAAATTTGCTCACTATCCTTGCACCCTGGTCTGCTGTGCAGGCAGCATGCGGGAGAAGAAGCAGAATGCTCTCATACTTGCTCACGTCCCCAGCCTCCCTCACATTCCCAGCCTCCGCTGGACTGCCTGCCTCCACTTCTGAGCCACTTCTCCGGAGTGAGGCCACACAAGCACAGCAACCAAGCTGTTGAATCAGGGATGTTTTATTTATGATTTTAATAATGGAGTCTCTTGGGAAAATTTTGGTTTCTCATTCCCAGAAGCAAAAATTCATCTACAGAATGTTCTTGAAATTTATTACTGTTTATATTTTTTCCTCA